TTTTTTTTTTCAAATGGTTTGCTATTTTTTTCCTCATAGTTTTTGTATATTTTGTAATATTTGAAGTGGCAATTTTCCACCCTTGGATTAAGTAACGAAGGTCATATGGTGTAGGTGTCATTTTTTTTGTCTTTGTCTATAAATATTATTTTCAAAGCATTTGAATAATTTTCTTTTTTTGAGGGGGGGGTTGTGCATGTTTCTGTAAAACAGTCTATCATTGTCCCTTTTTCAAATATTTGTGTATTTATTTCAACTAATGTTCTGGTCTTCCAATATCTGAATACATTTCAGCTAGTATGCTGGTATTTTGCGAGTAAAGTTTATCACATTTTTAATAATTTTTTTTTTTTGGTTTGTGCATGTTTCTGTAAAACAGTATATCATTGTCCCTTTTTTAAATATTTGTGTATTTATTTCAAATAATGTTCTGGTCTTCCAATATCTGAATACATTTCAGCAAGTATGCTGGTATTTTGCGAGTAAAGTTGTATTAGTTTATCACATTTTTAAAAATGTTGTTGGATTTCTTGTTAAATCTTTTCTAACTTTCCCCTAAAATCTTGGCAATATTTTAAAAATGTTTCTAGCATTTATTGGTGTTTGGTCAAATACTTTCATATTATTTTCCATACGGTATTTTTTTTCAAAGATTTTTGTATTTTGAATCTTGGCAATATTTTAAAAATGTTTCTAGCATTTGTTTTGGTGTTTGGTCAAATACGTTCATATTATTTTCCATCCGGTATTTTTTTTTTCAAAGATTTTTATATTTTAGGTTTAATACAGTGGTGCCCTGAGATATGAGTTTAATTTGTTGAAATGAATGGAAATGTCATGAATCAGTTCCGATCTTCCATTGAAAAAGTCAGTGGAGCCACTCGTATCTCACGGCACAATTGCATGATGTATTTTTCTAATTGGAAGCTTACTTCGACATTTTGCCAAAGCTAAATACGCTTTTAGCCAACCACGTCGACATAGCATGGCATCGAAGCAATCGCTTGTGTATTCTTACCGGCGTTTACCTCATTTACAGAATCTCCACCCCAATGCCGAACTTGTCCTCCCTCAACCTGAGAGGTCAGTTTACCCTGACACATTTTTCACACCATTCACATCGCTTCTGATGATTAACATTGCATTCTTTACAGAAACCATGATCGATTACAAACCTCAAGTGGAAACCACAACCACCAAGAAGGTTCTCATCAAGACCATCGAGACCAGAGACGGTCAGGTACAAAACGCACGTTCTTCGTAATGACGTTGGAATGACGATTTACATGTACTCTAATGTGTCTCCGTTAAGGTGATCAACGAGTCGACCCAAAACCACGATGACATGGAGTAATAAGGCCACACACAAACGATACGATGTTCACTGGCTCTGCACTCAATGACACTCTTAGCTTTGAAAAGTGCCTTTTATATGTCATGATTTGGTGAGCGAGTTAGTTTGAAACAATGTGTTGAGCTTCCATTTCTCTTCTCTTTTTTTTTTTTGTCTCAGACACAATAATTAACAATAAAAATAGCATTCCTGGACACACATAGTCAGACAAAGCATCTCACTTGTAGTCAACCTTTTGCTAGATTCAGTTTGTACACAACCAAATGCTAAATGCGTCACCGTTGCCTTATATTCAGCAATAAACTAATAAGACTGTGAGCGAGGTGTGATGCTTCGGGGGTGCACTTTCATTGTCATATACTAATAATGAATGAACTCGTCATCGAACACGCTCACGGTTTTCCGAAGCAACTGTTCCTAATGGTTTCCTTCCTCATTAACACCTGTATTGTCCCCACAGTGTCATGTCAAAATGTGTTAAACCACTAAGTGATGAAGACTGCACGAAAGGTGTGAAAGCCTGCTGAAAAGCTAAACGAGCATTATAATTATTGCCTGATTGGGGTTGGTCTTACAGTAGTGATCCCCAACCAGTGTGTCGTGAGAGATCATTAGGTGTGTTGCGGAAATTATCCAATATTACTTCTTTGGATGAAAATAAGAAATTTACATTGGTCGCGTGCAGCATAACAACTATTCTGCTTCACCGTGTTTACTTTAAACGCTGAGCTCTACTAATTCATCCAAATCTGCAGAACTCAGGGCCCGACTGAGTTTATAATCAGTCAGCATTTCTTTGATGCATTTGATACATTATGCTTTTTAAAAAAATCACAAATGTCTTAAAAATCAAATTATCTAGCTACCTATATTTTATTCATACATCTTTATTTGTATAGCGCTTTTTGTACTTTTCCAATGTTTCTGTCCATTTATAATATGTATTTTTGAGACTGGCTTTATATCTGCGTGAAAACAAATCTCAATTGAAGGCGAGCCAAGTCTCGCGATGTCTTCCGAAAACGAGACTTGGGCTAATCAATAAACGCCAGTTTCCTACAACCCCACCTGTGGTCAAATAAAGTCGTGTTTAATAATTGTCGCGTTCATGTAAACAATAACAGTGACCATCGCCGGATTAAAATGGCTCGCTTCCGGAGCGGGGTGCCCCCTTGAGAGCGGGGTTCGTTGACGGGGCAACTTTCTCCGCGAGTGACGCGTATGCGGTGGAAAAGCACACCGAGGGAGACGCCGTCATGACCCGAATGAACTCTGTTGTGCCTTGGTTGAAATAACGCTTCGCCGCCATTGAAGGAAAAATATCACACGTCGGGGGGTTGAAATAACATCTCAGGTGAAGACTTGAACCCCAAGTGTTTTAGCTAAAAGCGGGCATCCCCCTCCCCACCACCTCCCTCCCCGGCGATGGGCTCCGTGACTTCCGCCCTGACGAGGACACGCCACGCGCTGGTCAAAGTGGGCTCGGAGCCGGAGAGTCACGACCCGGAGAGGAGCCACTCGGCGCCTGAGTCTGCCAGGAAAAGGAGTCACAAGTCGCACAGCCAAGTCGCTCGGCACACTTCCCGGCAGTTGCTCGCGGAGGTGCTGAGCCGACAGGACTCGGACGGAGCCAAGAAGTCAGCCGAGGTCCACCCGAACAAACCGAGCGGTGAGTACTTGGAACGACGTCCACCTGTTGCCCTCGAAAGCTCGACTCATGATCCATCGCTCTCGAGCGGGGGAAGGCAAAGTCTTCATACTCATCATAATATTTTTATATGTTAGGCTTAATTTATTCACAATTCATCAATTACGTCATTTAATTAAACATTTAGATGCCAAATTACTTTATTCATGTTTTATTTGCTAAATAATGTTCGATGTACAGTGGTGCCTTGAGATACGAGTTTAATTTGTTACGTGAGCACACGCACGCACGCGCACACACACACACACACACACACACACTGATCTTATTAGTCTTTAAAATTATTTTCTTTTCTCTTCTTCTTTCTTTATATCACGCTGACAATCAGGTGGTTATTTTGTCCTAATTTGTGTGGTGCAGTCGGATAATCTCACACACAAAGAATCTGTGCCATATTTTGTTGATTTTGACAACGAAATCTCCTGTCATCACGTGGTCTCTTCAAAATAAAGAAAAGCGGAATCGAATGGGCGCCAGTAAATGTTACGCAAGTGTTTGACTGACTCCTTTCTAATCGGATAGTATATGAACCCAAATTAGAAGATGAGCCGTCTGGTATATTTCAATTTTGAATTTAATTGAAACATTTGTTTCCAAAGCTTCTAATAATGCTTCAATCAATTCCACACCGTTCAACGATGTGATGGATAGGAAAAACAATCGTATTTATAAAAGGTCAAGTTCATTGTTTTTATTCTGATGTCTTTTTAAAAAAGTAAATGGAAGAGATCACAGTGGAGTCCCGGTCGCCTTACAGAGTTTGGATACCGTTCAAGGTTTTGTCCTTAGCTCTGTCAGCGAGTGCTTGCTCCTGCAGGATTCAGTTGTTTTTCCTTGTGTATTTACTGGACAGTGTATCATGTAATCAGACTGGTCCTTGACCTGCTTGTTGTGTAAATTACCTTGATATAACATCTGTTGTGGATTGCCATTATGTAAATAAAATTGACTTGACCCATATTTGCTAATTTTGTGGAAACCTGATGATTATCCCTTGTGCTGTTCACCTCAAAGGTCGGTATGTAGCCCACGTTATGTGTTTTGGACTGAGCTGAATTGCACAATGGCATCATCTTTTCATTTGCAAAGACCGCTGAGATGATTTTAAAAAGGGCCAGCATCCTCTCTCTCTCTCTCAAGGAGGAAATGATGCTCGAGTACGCAGCACTTCCATGGTTTTGTTGGATAGTCATCAGTTGAAGGTCACGCGGAGGTTTGTCTTCAAGCGAAAGCATCACAATTACTGAATGCCAAAACTGTTATCATGGAAACAGGAAAAGGAGCCTCAGGGGGGGACAAGGCCAAAGGCTCCTTTGCACTCCAATTGTCACTTAGTAAAAAAGAAAAAAAAAACCCGACATATTCTTTCAAGACATGACACATTTTGCAGGGGCATTCTGTTCCTCCTGCACACAGCTGTTGTGTTATTTCCTGTGGATGTCTGGTTGCGTGCTTGCATCTGGGGATGAGAGCGAGTGGAAACATCAGAGGTATTATTTTGCATATTCTCCTTGAAAGTAGCGGTTCACTGGATGAATATCACGCTCCTTTGAAGGCCAACCTCAATACGTTGAACATATCTCCACTAGCGCCCGCCGCAGCCGTGTCCCTGAGACTTGAATAAGCACAACCGCCACTCAGCGCGCACTCTTGTATGCTTGTAAAGTTAGAGAAGGGAAGTTGAGCTGGTGTGCTACTGCTAACTTGAAAGGCGGCGGTAATCTCTCTGTGAATCCTCTGAACCACTGTTTGCAGGAATTGTTGCATTGTATAGGATTTTGTGGATGCTAGGTATGTCAGATTTTGACGTGTATAATCAACTTGAGCCAAAATATTGCAGTTTCACGGTACTGCAATTAGAGCTCTAAAATGTATTACCGGTAGTTTGACATGTTTGGGTGATTGTCTTTTTGCCAGTGAACACTATATAGAATATTTTGGTACATGAGTAATCGTAAAAATAAAATAACTGAAGAGAGTTGTGCCTTGAGATAAGAGTGACCCAATGTAGGAGGTTTCATTAGATACGAGACAGCAATCAATTATTAAAAAATTCTTTAAAACATTTGTATGTACTTTCATTTATTTGCCTGGTCGTGCAAGCTCAAACTTGTAATACCAGCACTAAATAGTGAACAAATCTACAAATAGGCTTGAAGCTGAAGTTTACTGGCAAATGACACAAAACAAAGCCAGTTACCCTTTTTGGATGGAAAACAACCAAAGCCGAGCCTTTCAGACTTCCATCTTAATGCTAATACTAATTAGCATCAAGCTTGCGGTTCTTTTAACCCTTTAAACCGTGGATTAAAGTGAGATAATACATGGGTGGTGAGATAATACATTTCTATTCATTTCAGTTGGAAAAAATTAATTGAGACACGAGTGTTTTCAGTTACAAGCGTCATTACCGAACACACTCGTATTTCAAAGCACCGCTGTATGACAACATGTGTCCTTTCAATTGAAAATGATCTTGTCTTATTGATCCTTTCAACTTCTCCTCCACACTCTTAGGACCACCGCTCCTTGTTTACAACCCACTTGCTCGATTGCTGCTGCCTCAAATGCACTTAAGGCCTCAAAGGGAAGACCTGTCCCCCGTATGATTCCTAAAATATAGTCTCTGCAGCGACGTTTCCATGACTGTGTCAGAGCGTAGTTTACCCTCCTGACTTTGCCCTCCCCTCAGACCGGTGAGGCTTGCGTGCTGAGGTGTCTTCTTCCTGACTCTGTGTCAGACAGTCCCTGTAGTCTTTTAATCTTAATGGGGAAAGATGATTTGAAATTTCTTTCGTAACTAGAGGCAATATTTTCCCGTTGAGGGGTTTCGTGACTTGAAAATTTCATATGAAGAGGCGTTCCTAAGTAGAGGTACCACTGTATGGTAAATCATGTCGCAGCCTCATACATTTGTTTTGCTTCCTGAATAAATTATATCTCAGCCTATAGCAGGGAAATGAGATTGATGATGACATATTGTATTTAGTCTGCAAGGACTTCAAAGATTGATATGGTCAAAGTCAAGTTGACACTGTGCCGAAATTGTGGTGCGGGACTTAATTGCCTCCGTGTGAGCCCAAAACAAATGATTTCAACAGATATACTGCAGTCTCCTTAAGGAGAGTCCCAGGGGTGTTGTGTTGAAAATGAAAAAAATAAAACGCACTTGAATGGTTTGACGGAAAATCGAACAACATCACTGAGCAAGTCGGGCGTGGTAATAAACAAAATTGTCAATGCACCACGACATTGGCACCTGTCCAGCTGACCCCCCCCCCCTCCACTCATCCCCCAGAAATCTGGAAAAAAGCCTTTTGGTTTTCTGACTGGATTTAAATACTGTCCAATAAGTGGACACCCTGCTCCCAAAATGCCCTCAGAGAGCTAAAAAGCAGTGCAGGAGATGGAAGAAACCCATGGAGCAGCCCACCCTCTAGTGGCCAGATTGTTCCTTCACGGGTTGATCGAGACCAAAAGCAACTGTGTGTCCATACGTGAATGATTAAGAAGTGGCAATCACCTCAAATTAAATGATTGGAGCTCTTCTGATTCCGTTTTTTTTTTTTTTTTTTTTTTTTTGAACGCCGTTTTTTGGACGTAGCATTCCTGTGTGTTCTTAACATGTAACATCTTCTGTGGAACTGTTGCTGTTGTTGGTTAAAAATATCTAAATGTGCAGTTTGTGGTGGAAGCCTTTCTGGGGAAAGGCTTCTGCTCATTAGCCAGACGGTTTTAGCGTCTTCCAAACGTGACGGATTAAGTCCGCTGGGAAGGAAATGTGCCATGCTGTGGCAGACTCCCGTTTCCAATCAAAGTGTTTTTGTGTGTGTGTGTGTGTGTGTGTGTGTGTGTGTGTGTGTGTGTGTGTGTGTGTGTGTGTGTGTGTGTGTGTGTGTGTTGGCCCAACGCTACTGACCGACTGTGTCTACAATGTGTCTGGTCAACACCCTCGCCCCCACACACCCTCTTTAAAATAAATAAATCGCTAGCCATCCTTGACAATTGCTGCTTGTCAGCCAGTTCCCTCAGGTTCCCAACATTACCTTTTTTTTTCTTTAAAGTACCTCATCTAATGAGCATTTAGCATGGGAAAAGAAAGGTGCCTGCTCTCTCTGTGTCTTAATTACAAGACTCTGTCACTGTGGTGACAGCGGCGCGGGGACTGAAAAGGCCCGTATCAGTCCACAGTTTTGCAGAAATGTCTAATGAGCTTGTTTTTGCTGTTTGATTGTGTTATTGTCCTTTTGTAAACACGATCTCTTAAAAAAAAACTGCCAGTCAATTTCTGGATGAACTCACATGTTTGTACTTGGGATTCCAATAATGTTTTTCAAGTAACAACAAGAATAGACCAGCCTTAGACGTGAGTTAATACATTTTAAAAGAGACAAATTAATTACATTCGCTTGTGTTTTCCGAATGTAATAAGAAAATAAATAAATCAATGAAATAACCTACCCGAACTGCTCACTATGTACTGTCAAGTGCAAGGAAAATACACAAAAACTACCAGCCAGGGGATATACGTCATAATAAAGAAAAACGACAGTTCACAGCTTTAATAAACAAGATATGGCATATGAGAGAACAGCACATGTATAATAGCTTGGGAGTTATAGCTTTGTCTGATATTTACACTTGGTTGAGCTTAAACATTAAACTGGGGAAATGTATGTAAAAAATAATAATTTTAGAAGAGGGCAAATTCTTTTTCATGGGACTGTAGATATGGTAACAGAGCCACCCCCCCCCCAAAAAAAATCAATTCTTAAATGATGTTTATAAATGTAAATGTTTTAATAGATCAGTTTTGCTGACAGAAATTTTGTTTTTAGGATTTTTTTTTCCCTGAAATTACATTTGGTGTTTGTCCTCATCTCTCAAGATTTTATTTTTTTAAATTCAGTTATTTTGGTAAATGGTATTTCACAAAAACTGAAGGGTTTAGAAATTACATA